TTCACTATCCGCCCCCGAAGCGGCGGCCATGACTATGATGGTCTATCCTACGTTTCCACCTCCGGTCGATTCGTGCTAATCGACCTCCAATTCCTCTCTTCCATCAACATCGATATGCACTCCGGCACAGCCTGGGTGCAAGCCGGTGCAACTCTCGGCGAGCTCTACTACGCCATCGCCAACCATAGCAGAACTCTCGCTTTCCCCGCCGGCCTCTGTGCCACCGTAGGCGTAGGCGGGCATTTCAGCGGCGGAGGATTGGGGACTTTAGCAAGGTCTTAATTTTGAATAAAAGATAAGTAAATCTGTGGCTTATCATGAGATTTTTTATTCATACTATTTCATTGGGCAGGTCCTTCGGGTTATCGAGCGATAACGTGGAAGACATCCGAATCGTCGTGGCAAGCGGAGAGATAAAGAATCGAGGAACGATGGGAGAAGATCTATTCTGGGCGCTGCGAGGCGGAGGAGGTGCGAGCTTTGGGGTGATTCTTGCTTACAAAGTGAGGCTTGTGGCGGTTCCCAGTACGGTAACTCTTTTCGTAGTCTCAAAGACGTTGGAGGAGGGAGCGACAAAGCTTGTGGATAAATGGCAGCGAATGGCTTATAATGTGGATAAGAGGCTGTTTATCCGGGCGGTGTTTACTGTTGAGGGAAATGTTAGCGAAGCTAGTGATGGGAATAAGGCGAACAGAACAGTGCAGGTTTCTTTTAAATCCTTGTTCCTTGGTGAGAAGAATGAGCTTCTTCACGTAATGGAGGATTGTTTTCCGGAACTCGAATTGAAGGCGGAGGATTGTAGAGAGATGAGCTGGATTGAGTCGGTCATGTACTTTGCACGTAAGTGCTCCACCTTTTTATTTTTATTTTTATTTTTTATTTTTTATATAAAATATAGATCAAGTTTAGCCGGCTTATTTCTTGTGATTAAAAATAGTTGATAAGCAAATTTATTAAATTAATTAATTGGTGTAATCAATTAAATATCAATACAATTCGGTTTCTTATTTTAAACATAATTTTTCTTCCAACCTGAAACTAAAATTCAAACCAAACTAACCATTGCTTCCAGTTCAAATCAACTAATGCACGCTCTTAATAAAACACTAGGATTAAGCGTGAACATATAATTCTATTTTTTAAAAAAACATGCATTTAAATTTATAGTAATGGCCTATATTTGCAGGATACGAAGGAAAGCCTTTGAGCATCCTACAAGAGAGATACTCTCCTGTGTTCAACAGCTCCTTCATGCACAAATCCGACTTCATAACACAAACCCTCCCCTTGGAAGCATGGGACAAAATACTGCATCGTTTCCTCGAGAAAGGAGAAAAACCCCAAATGATCTTAGATCCGTGGGGAGGGAGAATGGATGAAATCTCTGAAACCGAGACAGCCTTTCCTCATCGGAAAGGAACCCTTTTTCACGTCCACTATTTGACGCAGAGGTGGTCGGAAGACGGCGCTGCTGTGAGCAAGAGGCATGTGGATTGGTTGAGGAGGTTTTACGAGTTCATGACACCTTATGTTTCTAAGAACCCAAGGGCGGCTTATCTCAACTATAGAGATTTGGATATTGGGACGAATGTGAAGGGAAACAAGACAAATTATTGGGAGGCGAGAGTGTGGGGAGAGAGGTATTATAAAGGTAACTTCAAGCGATTGGCTTATGCGAAGGGTGAGGTTGATCCTACTAACATGTTCATGAATGAGCAGAGCATTCCTCCTCTTTTTCATTAAGAAGTTGGTCACCTGAATGCTCGATAGAGGTGAAAATAAATGGTTATTGGTAGGGAGAGTATGCACTTTGTTTTAAGCAACATTAAAATAGTGAGAAAAGTGATGCATGTCTTTGTATTTGAGCTACTCTTACGTTATGGCTTCTGTTCTTTGTGAATGTTTGCGAAGTTTAATTCAAAAAGATATCCAAGTTTCTCAGCACCGTCAAACAATTTGAGATCTGTACTTCTATCTATATATAGATAGATAGATAGATAGTATATATACATATCTATATATACTGTGTTTTGTGTGTGTGTGTGTGTGTGTGTGTACATACATACATATACATATATATACATATCTATATATACTATGTTCATAATCAATCTAAATTAGCTCATTATGTTTTCATTTGTGAATGTGGACAATTCAATTAATAGCTTTGGAAGAGAAATATAAACTTTAACAAATTTGTTGAATTCAAATTTGTCTGTGAATAACCCCCAAAGAATAGAACGTAAATTAAAAGAGGGATAGAGGAGAAATATAAACTGTAATAAATCATGTATAATTCATAAAATATTTCCATTATTCATAAGAGAATAGTACAATTATGATATTATATTTTTGCCCATGTTTGGTAGAGATTCATATTAGGGTGTTTTTGATATTTTAGATATATGGGTCTATCGTTCAGCTGTTTCTTCGCTCGGGCCAGAAGAGAAATATAAACTTAAATAAGCTTGTTGAATCCAAAATTGTACGTGAATCATATCCAAGGAATATAACGTAAATGACTTGGGTGGGGTTGGGGTGGGGGTGTATAGATAATAATCAATCATGTTTTATTCATAAAATATTTCCCTATTTACAGGGGAGATGATAAAATGATGATATTATATTTTTGCTCTTATCTGGAAGGGATCCCTATTACAATATATATATACCTTGCGAACATCCTGCCCCTTAGGAGAAAATCTCCACCTTGCTTCAACCCACATTTGTGCATAAGAAACTCCATGATATTTTTCTTCTAAGGGGCTGGATATTCGCAAGGTGGAGATTTTCTCCTAAGGGGCAGGATGTTCGTAAGGTGGAAAATAAAAGACTTACAAAATATTAAAACAAAATGTATCCTTTAAAGGTTGAAAATAAAAACTCATTCGCCCTCCATGATTGTTTGATGAACTTAACAAATCTAGTGTTAATGTACGCTCACAAAGAGACATTGTCATATTAAACGTACAACTAAGGACCCGTTTGGTGCAGTTTATTTGGTGCGGTGCGTTTTGAAAACAATGGATGAGACATTTGGTTGTTGCAGCGTTGTAGCTTATTCTATTAAACCATTAATAATTCGTTTTAAATGCAGAAGCGAGTTTGACCCCACGACCTGCAATTCTTGATGTATGTATTACCCCACTGCCCTTCTTGTCCCTGTGGATCCCTCTCTCACGATCTCTTCTGCCCTAGGTAGCACTATGCTTCTCTCAATCGTTCAAGCGAACCCTAGGTACCTCACTCTCTCTCTCTCTTTCTCGTTTCTCTCTTGCATCTTTCTCGCCCTTCTCTCGAGCCTCTCACGTGCCACTTTTTGGTGGTTGCCTTTCACATCTTTCTGGTCCCTTTGATCTCTGGTTATTGAGCTCTATACGCAAATCATGAGCTCATTTTCGATGGAATGGATTTATTTTTACGATTTTTGGGTTTCTTTGTTGTGAGAAGTTTGTTATATTTGTGATTTGTGATCTTCTAATTTCTTATTTGCGATTTATGATTTGCGATTTGAATTTTGCGAAGAAAAATGAAAAGGAGGAATGATTTTTTTATCACCACTTATTGTTTGAGTGGGAATTTGGAGAATGGATGAAAGAGTGAGTTTGATTTGTAGATAAGATTGTTTTGGGTGCCCCGTATGTAATCGTATGAAACGTTGAATATGGGATAACATAGCGAATGTTGAATCTAGCTCAGATCAAGTTATTAAACCACTAGACATTTTTCTGATATATTTAGAAGGTTAAATGAATGTTGAATCAAGCAAACTTATATTCGAATTGAGCGTTTCGACAAGACAAATCCAACGAGCTCAAGATTGCTCAATTACGAAATCGCTAAGGCTATCAAATGTTGTTAGATCGATGAAAGCTCTCAGAATTTTCTAATCAAAATGGTGCATATTATTGCATTAATTGCACCCAGAACATTATGAATAGAGTCCCACCTCTCTCATGATGAGGGAGCTTCAGGCTTGAGAGAAAATTTAATGCTTTGAGAAGTAGCCGATGACCAACACGACTCCTCTCATCATCGATCTCGTTGACAGTCGTTGATAGTCGTCAATCATTGTCAACCCTCGTTGACAACCGTTAATCACCACCAATCACTGTCAACCACCATAGACCGGACACCGTTAGTTGATGTTGGAACCTGGAAAATCTTGTAACGTTTTTTCTCTTGGTGGGACAAAGGGGTCTCTGTAATCATCAGTGTATAGTGAATTTTTAGAATTGGGCTAAACCTTGTGGTTTTTTTCCTTCACAGATTTTTTTCACGTAAGAAAATTCTGGAGTCATTAATGGTTAATTTCTTTCACCAGAGGGCATATTAAATTCTGTGCAATGCTAAGAAGATAATACATTACTCTACATCCACAAATCTTTTAGCATGCATCAATAACATTTTAAATTTACTTATTACTTAAGGACCTCCTCATCCCCCTTTTCATTAATGTCCTCTTCCTTCTATATTCTTCCCGCGCCATTAACGTTGATCAGTCCCCTAATTCCGATGAGTGCGAGTTCGTTGAATGCCTCCGAAACCACTCTGTTCCCCCCAACCTCTACTTCACTCCTCAATCCCATTTCTTCAACCATTTCTTCTTCTCCTCCGTCCGCAATCGCCGTCCCCTCCTAAACTCCTCTAAACCAATTCTCATCTTTCTCCCCACCAGCGAAAACCACGTCCAAGCAGCCGTTCTCTGTTCCCGCAGCCTGGACATTCCTACCCGCACCCGAAGCGGCGGCCATGACTATGAGGGTCTATCCTACGCTTCCACCTCCGGCCCATTCGTGCTCATCGACCTACAATTCCTTTCTTCCATCAAAATCGATATGCACTCCGGAACAGCCTGGGTGCATGCCGGCGCCATTATCGGAGAGCTGTACTACGCCATTGCCAACCATAGCAGAACTGTCGCATTCCCCGCCGGCCTCGGTCCTACCGTAGGCGTAGGCGGGCATCTCAGCGGCGGAGGATTGGGGACTTTAATGAGGTCTTACTTTTGAATAAAAAAATAAGTAAATTTGTGGCTAATCATAAGATGTTTTATTCATACTATTTCATCATGCAGGTCCTTCGGGCTATCGAGCGATAACGTGGAAGACATCCGAATCGGCCTCGCAAGCGGAGAGATAAAGGATCGAGGAACCATTGGAGAAGAACTGTTCTGGGCGCTCAGAGGGGGAGGAGGTGCGAGCTTTGGGGTGATTGTGGCTTACAAAGTGAGGCTTGTGGCGGTTCCGAGCAAAGTAACTGTTTTCACAATCTCAAAGAATTTGGAGGGGGGAGCGACGAAGCTTGTGGATAAATGGCAGCGAATGGCTTATAAGGTGGATAAGAGGCTGTTTATCCGGGCGGTGTTTACTGTTGTGGGAAATGATAGCGAATCTTCTGATGGGAATAAGACGAACAGAACAGTACAGGTTTCCTTTAAATCCTTGTTCCTTGGTGAGAAGAATGAGCTTCTTCCCATAATAGAGGATTGTTTTCCGGAACTCGAGTTGAAGGCGGAGGATTGCACAGAGATGGGCTCCTCTACTTTGCAAGTAAGGGTGCTACTTTTTTATTTTTAATTTTTTTTTGTTTTTTTAGTATATAAAATAGATCAAATTTAGTCAACAGATTTCTTGTGATTAAAAAAAGTTGATGAGCAAATTTATTAAGCTAATGAATTAATTGGTGAAATCTATTAAATATCAATATAAATCGATTTCTTATTTTAAACATAATTTTTTTTTCCAAACTTAATCAATAACTAAAATTCAAATCACCTTTAACCTGAAACTAAATTCAAAACCAAGTTTAGCATGGCTTTCAGTTTAAATCAACTAATGCACACCCTTTATAAAACACTATGCTTAAGCGTGAACATAAAATTCTATTTTAACAAAAAAACATGCATTTAAATTTATAATAATAGCTGTTAAACAAAATAAACTCCGACTCCTATATTTGCAGGATACGACGGAAAGCCTTTGAACAGCCTACTTGAGAGATATTCTCCCGCTTACAACAGCTCCTTCAAGCACAAATCTGACTTCTTAACACAAACCATCCCCTTGGAAACATGGGACAAAATATTGATTTGTTTCCTCGAGAAAGGAGAAAATCTCTAAATGATCTTAGATCTGTGGGGTGGAAGAATGGATGAGATCTTTGAAATCGAGCAGCCTTTCCTCTTCAGAAAGGAACCTTTTTTCATGTCCACTATTTGACGCAGAGGTGGTCGGAAGACGACGCTGCAATGAGAGGCATGTGGATTGGTTGAGGAGGTTTTACAAGTTCATGACACCTTATGTTTCTAAGAACCCAAGGGCGGCTTATCTCAACTATAGAGATTTGGATATTGGGACGAATGTGAAGGGAAACAAGACAAATTATTGGGAGGCGAGAGTGTGGGGAGAGAGGTATTATAAAGGTAACTTCAAGCGATTGGCTTATGCGAAGGGTGAGGTTGATCCTACTAACATGTTCATGAATGAGCAGAGCGTTAATGAATGAGCATAGCATTCCTCCTCTTTTTCATTAAGAAGTTGGTCACCTGAATTCTCGATAGAGGTGAAAATAAATGGTTATGGGTAGAGAGAGCATGCACTTTGTTTTAAGCGAGATTAAAATAGTGAGGAAAGTGATGCGTGTTTTTGTATTTGAGCTAGTCTTACGTTATGGCTTATAATCTTTGTGAATGTTTGTGATGTTTTATTCAAAGAAATATTTAAGTTTCTCAGCACCACCATTTAATTCAAGTTCTTTACTTCTCGATCAACGTGCGCCCCCACACACACACACACATAATAGTGAGGAAAGTGATGCATGCTTTTGTATTTGAGCTACTCTTACATTATGACTTATGTTCTATGTGAATGTTTGTGATGTTTTATTCAAGGAAATATTTGAGTTTCTCAACACCGTCAAATAATTCAAGTTTTTTACTTCTCGATCAGCGCGCACGCACACCAACACCCACCCACCCACACACACACACACACATATATGATATTTTACATATATGAACTTATGGTTCAGTTTCTTCTTGGTTTGGCTAAAAGAGAAATATAAAATCAAACAAGTTTGTTGAATCCAAATTTGTGAGTGAATCCCCTTGAAGAAATTGATCATAAATAACTAGAGGAAAGAAAGTGTGTGTGGAGAATGAGCAGTAATCAATTATGTATTATTCATAAAATGCTTCCCTATTTATATGGGAGATGATACAATTTTGACATTATATTTTTGCCCCTATTTGGAAGGGATCCATATTACGATATTTTTGTTATTTTACATATAAGGGTTTATCATCCCCTGCTTTCTGGCTTGGCTGAATAAGCTTAGCTTGCTTCGAGTTGATGGGATCGTCTTATTTAGTTGAGGTTGGGCGGCATGGGTCAAGCTTGGTTGCCAATCCTTGAACCATTATATGGAGCGGCTTGAGAATCCACGAGATGGTTGGAGGTTCTGTGGAATTGGATCTTCCTATGAATTGACTCTAGTATATGACAGACTAACAAATTAATCAGTTTTTTTTAAGTGGTTTGTTTAGATGTTGTTTTGTCTTATTTCATGCCAAATGACCAGTGCATGGATCATCCAATCATATTCCTCTCCGCCTAACATAGAGAATTGTCCTCGATCATCACTCTACCTCCATTTACCCACCTCGCCTATGCCCATCACTTTCTCTCTTTTGTGTTTGCTCTCTTGGCTTTCAATATTTCTGCAACCTAGCTTTATTTTGAAAACCTTATAAGTGCTATAGAAAATTATCATTTTTCATTATGTAGGTTTTTCGCAATTATAAATGCATTTGTGCATTATTGAACTTCTTAGCAGATTTCCCATGATTTTTATTGACTTTTATGGGTCTAAATTTGATGGAATAAATCTAAGTTTTGTAGGTTTTGAATTTTCTTTTTTTGAAATATTGATGTGAAAATAGAAATGTAATGTAATACTATTCGATCACAAATACTTTACAATATTTTTTAAGATCATTTCCAACTTAACTAGTTGGCACACACAATGTTGCTTCTTTCCTTTTGTTGATAGGATTGGTATTTTTAATGATTTTTATTTTTTTAGGACCAAAACAATAGGAGATTGAAAGAACTTTGTTACAAGTAAACACGATTCACACTTTTTTTGGCATTTGTATGTTGACCAATCCAATCTTCCTCCCTACAATGACCAGAGTTGACAAGATCGAACTCCCACTAAGCTAGACTAATCCTCCTCTTAACATAGACTAGAGTTGTCATGAATAACAATTTTTCAAATGGTTAAATCATTAATCCTAATTAAACTATAAAATAAGCATTCCAATCAATTCCCTGATTATTATCACGTGGAATGTAAATTTCAACCCAAGGAGTCTATCCTAAAATTAAAAAAACTTCAAAATATTAAATAATAAAACATAAAATATTGAAATAAATTGTATCCTTTAAATGCTAAAATAGAAACTCATCCGCCTTCTGTGATTGTTTGGCGAACATAACAAATTAATTGCTAACATACGCTTACAAAAGGACAATGTCATATTAAACATACAACTAGATTTATACTCAAAATAATTCGTCCCAGTAAGGGCATAATTCGAGTCATCCGTCTATGTGGTTTGACCAATAAGCTCCACAAAAGAAGTAGTTACGATCAAAGCTCTTTGGCAGGGTGATTTGGCTAATAAATTTCATCCTAAAATAATCAAATTTGAAACATTTATATTCCCTAATTATACATATGGTATATGAAAATATTTGATAGAGCATAAAGTCCTCTGCACGATGTAGTCGACTTAGATTAGCCCCTTCTGACGAATATCCACTCCAAGGGATATCTGACTTAGATTAGCCCCTTACGATGATCGAACCATTGAGATTTGATAAAAATGAAAAATATGTTGGTCTTTTACAATGAAATTTGATATTTGACTCAATCTGCTTCAACAGTAAGACCTTTTTCTTTATGATTGGATGTTATGAAATAGTTTCATGAATTGTTTTTTTATCATAATTTATCATTAGCAAAACTATCAACCAGATAAATTAGTGGACGGACTGCCACGGCAAGCTAAATTTCTAAAATTATTTTTATGCCCTTTTCATAAATATTTTATTAATTTGCCTCATTTCTAATGTGATTGAAATTATAAGAATATTTTCTTATTCATGTTGATAGATCCGATTGGATGGCATAGACTTTCAAATTGGATGATTTACTTAACATTTAAATCTTGTCTTCTTTTATTTTTCTCACTTAAATCTTATGTATATATATATATATATATATATATATATATGTAATATATATATATATATGTAATATTACATAAAAAATAGCATACGTAAATACTATATATATATATA